TTTTTTTTTTTAATTGAGACAGAGTCTCAGTTTGTCACCCTTGGTGGAGTGCTATGGCGTCACCGTTCACAGCAACTTCAAACTCTTGGGCTTAAGTGTTTGCCTCAGCCTCACAAATAGCTGGGACTACAGGCAACTACTACAATGCCCAGCTATTTCTTGGTTGCATTTGTCCTTGTTGTTTAGCAAGTCTGGGCCGGGCTTGAACCCACCAGCCTCAGTGTATGTGGCTGGCACCCTACCTACTGAGCCATGGGTGCCGAGCCTCTTAGTCGCCTATTGTTGAGACAGAGCCTCAAGCTGTTGCCCTGGGTAGAGCGCTGTGGCATCACAGCTCACAGCAGCCTCCAAGTCCTGGGCTCAAGTGAGCATCTGCCTCCCAAGTAGCTGAGACTACAGGTGCCCGCTGAAACGCCTGGCTATTTTTTTGTTGCAGTATCTTGGTTGTTTGGCGGGCCTAGGCTGGATTCAAACCCACCAGCTCAGGTGTATATGGCTGGCGCTTTAGCTGCTTGAACCACAGGTGCTGAGCCGGTAGAGACTCTTTAAGTTGACCACCATTCAAAGGACTGTAACAAACTGGTCAACACATCAAGGTGCTCAACATAAGGAACTTGCGTTGAGTACATGTGATGCTTGTCTGGTCTATACAAATTAGGTCAACTTAAGGCAGTAGTCAATTATGGAGGTTCTACTATGTTTACTATCTTTGGATTTTTGTAATCTTTGAAAATAATGTTGGGGGGCAGCACCTGTGGCTCATTGAGTACATCAGCCCCATATTCTGAGGGTGGTGGCTTCAAACCTGGCCCTGGCCAAACTGCAAAAAAAAAAAAGAAAAAGAAAATAATTGTTGGGTATTTCAAAAATATCTTAGTTTATGCTGACAGCTCTTTTATTAGGGAACAATTTATTTATTCATTTAATTTTATTTATTTGAGACAGAGTTTTACCCTGTCACCCTACACAGAGTACCATGAACTCATAGCTCACAGTAAACTCAAACTCTTTTTTTTTTTTTTTTTATTGAATGGTAACTATGTACATTAATGCACTTCTGGGGTACAGTGAGCATCTGTGTGTTTTCACACACAATCTGAAACACTTCCATCAAACTGGTTAACATAACCTTCATGTCATTTTCTTATTGTTTTAAAACGTTCACATTCTACTCTTAGAAAGATTCACTTGTACCCTTGTAAGATAAACCTCAGAAGTGATCCCTCCAATTCCCCTCCCTCCACCCATTCCTCCCTCCCATCTCCCTCCCCCCTCCCCGACCTCAAAATCTTGGCCTCTAGAGATACTCTTGCCTCAGCCTCCCTAGTAGCTGGGACTATAGGCATCTACCACAATGCCTGGCAAGTTTCTCTGTTTTTAGTGAAGACCAGGTCTCATTTTTACTTAGGCTGGATAAAAGTGAGACCAGGTCTCACTTTTACTTTGAGGCTTTTTTTTTTTTTTTTT